AAAACTTTTGGCGAAAACCAAACGTAGCATATCAGCACAGACACCTCATACCAACTATCAATAGCAGTAATTGAGGGGTGATGATTTGGGCTTGTTTTGCAGCCACAGGATCTGGGAACCTTACAGTCATTGAGTCAACTATCAACTCCTCTGTATACCAAAGTATTCTAGAGTCAAATGTGAGGACATCTGTCCGACATCTTAAGCTTGGCTGAAATTGGGTCATGCAACAGGACAATGATCCCAGACACATCAGCAAATCTACAACAGAATTGGTGGAAAAGAAAAGAATCAAGATGTTGCAATGGCCCAGTCAAAGTCCAGACCTCAACCCAATTGAAATCCTGTGGCGGAACAAATGACAGCAAACCTCAATGAACTGAAGCAATGTTGTAAAGAAGATTGGGCCAAAATATCTCCACAATGATGTGAGAGATTGATGTTCTACAGAAAACAATTACTTCAAGTTATTCCTGGTAAAGGTGATTCTACAAGCTATTGAATCATAAGGTTGTTGCGGAGCTGCAATTTTATAATCCCAGGATCTCTGCTGGTAGAACGCAATAACCAAGTACAAAGCTGGAAGCAGGCAATATTCCCAAATCCTCCCAAGAACCAGACGAAACACAGTCTGAGAGTCAACTGCCACTTTATTCAAAAAGACTGATATTTAAAGCAGGTCACTCAACTGTCACTTTATTCAAAATAACTGATATTTAAAGCAGGTCACTCAACAGGGGTTTCCAAAGATGGGCAGCAGGGGTTTTGGTTGAGGGGACTGGAGGGAGACTACCGTTTCCAGGTCCTCCTCCCAACAGCCCCTGCTGTAACATACAGTAATGAAAACTACGAGGACATAAACCGTTACCTTTCTTCTTCAAAATATACAACTTAATCAGTTTTAATAGCAATGCTAACGAATGGGGAGGATTCGAACAGACATACACAGTACAGCATAAATTAAACATAGCCGGAGACGCCACACTATACCGGCGCGCAGTACACAACAGAAAATAGGCACAACCATTCTATCTTAGGCAGTCCCAAGTGGCTAGGTTTGCCACAAAGGTGTACTTATTTTTTTTTTTTTTACACATGGCTTCTCCATTTTGACTTTATTTATATTCAATGAATCATGAAACTCCACTGCCCCACCCCCCAAAAAATAAAGTCACTGTTTAGTATTTGCACTGCAAATTAAAACATGCTGCACTTACCAATGCTTTATGTAATTGGGGGTATATCTAAAAACAGTTTGCAAAAATAACAGTTCTCTTATCTGCTTCCATTGCAAGCCCTCATTGAGACTGGAAGAAAGGGTTCTTTACAGTAAGAATAAACTGCCTAAAAAGGATGTGCTTTCAGATTCTATAGATAATTGTAAAGAAATGCTTGGATGCTTTGTGGCATAAACAAAATAGTCAAGGATATATTTGATATATCCTTGTGGATATGTGGAAACAGGTTGTTGATCTAAAGAGATATCTGTTTGCCATTATGGAGTCAAGAAGGATTTTTTGCCCCTTTTTTTGTGGCATAATTAGAAATCAACAGCATAAAAGCATGGGCTTCATGGTTGAACTTGATGGCATTTAGGGATTTTTTTTTCCAACCTAGACAAATATGTAACAAGGTTTGCAGCACATCTAATGCCCTTCTACAAGCATGATTTGCGGTATCTCTCACTTTCTGCAGTTTTCCATGGATCCCCTAGGCAATCAAAAATCATCTATTGGCTCTTAGAATTTAGGGTTCTCAACATCCAGTAACATTGTAGCTCACATGAACTTTCATAACAGACCCAAGCAGATCAATATCAAGACCTGAAAAAAAAAAATCATATTTTGTAAAAATAAATATTCCCCAGCCTATCAGTGTGTCTCTTCCCCACAACACCTTTGTTGGTCTCTTTCTCCCCCTAGCCACTTCTTGTGTCCCTTTCACCCCAAGCACCTTTTTGTGTCTACCTTCTCCCCCCAGCTCCTTTGTGTGTCTCTTTCTCCTCCAACTCCTGTGTGTGTGTCTTTTTCCCCTTTCTCTGTCCTTCTGTTTGTTTCTATGTCCCCCCCAGTCATCTTTGTGCCTCTTTCGCCCCCAACCCTCTGCATGTCTTTGTCCAAAAAGCCCTACTATGCCTCTTTATCCCCCCAGCCCCCTGTTTGTCTCTTTGTGCCCCCAGTCCCTCATTTATCACTCTGTGCCCCCTTGCTCTCTGTTTGTCTTTTTTTTTTTAATATAATTCTTTATTTTTTCTGTGCATGGTGGTGGAAACAGGTGGTTCAAAATCTTGCATGAATCCATCTAATCCATCCAATCTTGCCCTCATTTCTCGTCTCATGGGTTCCTTTCGACCCGGTATGAGGGGGGATGCTGTGGCCCTTAGTTTGTATTGCCCTTAACCTAGAGGGCTGCGGGGGGTGGGGGGGGAGGGGAGGGGAGGATGGCACGGCTAGTGTCCCTGAATATCCGTCAGTACGCCTTTGTCTGAAGTTGGGAGTGTAACTGCGCTAGCAGAGTGTGTAGAACAGCGAAAACAAAAATTAACATTAACAGTGGGGATACAGAGTTGTCTTATTGACCCGTGGGTGGGTACCCAGTGACCTTCCCATCTTGGTGTGCAGCTGAGTCCTCTTTCAGGGATATGGGTTGAGAGTCCTGGAGCCCCCTGCCCTTGGGACAAATGGAGTGGTGCGCCCGGGTTTAGACTGCGCAGGTCTCCGGAGCATGTCTCCTATATCCCTGCTGTCGACCGTAGCATTTGGTCTCTGGGAACAGTGTCCCATTGCAGGTAAGTGTTCCGGCTGCGGCTGTGGTGCGTGTAGCGGTGAGGCTGATAGTCCCGCTGCGGTGAGGAAAGCCTCGAGTCCCAAGATTGCTGGTGCGAGGTAGGCCGTAGGCCTGCGCCGCTGCTTAGTTTGCTTTGCCGGTTGGAAAAAGGGCATCGATCGATGCGTCCAGGCTTGGTGAGGCCAGCTGGGTAGTTTGCGGGGGTGGATGGGCCTTTTTTGGGGGATATTCGGTTGGATGCAGAAGTTTGTAGAGGAGCTGTAGAATATGGCGTCTGGTCAGCTAGGCTTGCAGGCTCCGCCCCCCCGTTTGTCTTTTTGTGCCCCCAGACCCTCATTTGTCTTTGTCCCACCTCAGCCCTCTGTGTTTCTTTGTTCCCCTGTCACACTGTGTCTATTTGTGCCCCCCTCCCCCAGCCCTCAGTGTGCCTCTTCATCACACTCACCACCTTTGTGGTCTCTCTTCCTGTGCCAGCTCACCTCTCTCCATGTAGCGTGGACGAACCATAGGAAGATATTTGGTGCTCTCAGTGAGCGCACGCAGTATACAGAAAATCCTCTACTGTGGTCCATGGCTCGACCATGCTTCATGCAGTGACTGGCAGGAGTCGAGGAGCACTGTTCATTTCGCCCCCCTGGGCTGATGTGCCTTAGGTGGCTGCCTAACTCGCCTAGCGGACGTCCATACCTGCATGTCTGTATGTGTCTATATCACTGGATGTATTTATGTGTTTGTGTGTCTGGGCAGTGTGTTTGTGATTGGGTGTAAGTGTTTTGGAAAGGCCTAAAAGTAAAATAATCAGCATAAATTGGGGAGAGGTGTTTGTATATTGCAGATAGTAATTGCTATAATTACATAGTATGTTTTCTATAGATTGATTGTTTCAAAGTAACCTAGGTATAAGTGTCACATCTCCTTGCCACTTTAACAGAGCAGGAGTATCCTAAAAAGACTTCTTCCACAATTTCCAACTAGCCTGGATAAAACTCAATGCCGGTTTGGAATTGTGGGAGTTGTAGTTCATCTTCCATTGGAGCTCTTAGATAACCCTTACATTTGTTTCCCTGCAGCTAAAACTATGATGAGATAATATTTTCTCCATTACTGGCAGGTTCATATCTCCATATATGGTCAGGTGCAGTGACATCATAAACACTCTGATATCATCTGATGAAACAATGAATGTCACAATAACCTATACTCAGAGAGACTGGGCATCTTGCGGGGGGACAGTGGCTATTGCATTATTCCAATGTTATTTATAATAATTGTACTAGTTAGCTGAATGCATTGCAGGTAAGGTTAACATAAAAGCTTTAGAGAGATTGGTCACTTTAGAAACATAAGATTTCATACACAATTGGCCATTCTGTGTATCCATTTACAATCTCTATTTAATCATTATTTTCAACACTTCAATTAACTTAAGGGCTTAGATGATATATTAAGCTATAAAGTAATGGTATTGACCAATATTTTGTATAGACTATAATACATCTAGAATATTTATCCATCCATTCTGGAATTGCCAGTGATATTTGTAGGGAATTTACTACAAGCTGTAATGTCATTTTTTAATGAAATTTGCCATGATGTGACCTGAATAAGCCATATTAGTTATTATTTTATATAACTGGGTGGGATGGAAAGATTTGTAAAGCAGTTCAGTGGTAAAAGAAAAATTAAACTGGTCCCTTTGTTTATGATGATTTTGAGGCTAATATTATGTATTTAAGGAGGAAGTGGGCAGTCTGTGTTTGAAACAAAGAAGCCACTTCCGGTTCGTCTGCTTCTGCATAGCTTGGAGCTGACACTAACTATTTATGCTAATTTGTTTCCTGAATTCGCTTTAGATATACTTAGTTACTTTCTATCTGTTTTATTTCAGATTTCAGAAATGTGGTCTATTTAATCATGCGTCTTGCATGTAACCTGCAAAATGTGGGGAAAACTGAATGGAAGTTGAAGGATCGTATGAGAGAAGACATTAAGAGCATTGAATGTGAAGGCGTGGTTACCATGCTGATCACTCATTTACTGCAATGTCATGATAGAAATGTAAGTAGTTTCTCTCTGCAGGTTATTCAGAGAATCAAGCGACGGCGGAGGGGGGAGTGACCTGCCCCACATTCTCTCCAACAGGAGCATGTGTTGGATTTTTTTATTAGGTTACTAGGCCCTCATCTGGTTTTGATTAAATTGTTATGGAGTATGGGGCCTCTAATTAAGGTGAGTGAGAAAGATATAGGTTTGAGGAATGGCAGTTACCCTGGGACTCCTTAGGCTAATCTTAAGAGGTGGATTTTTAGAAACTTCTTGGAGACTTGTGCATAGACTAGGTTTGGGTTCCCCCATCAGAGAAGTCATACCATCATGAGTTAGCAGTACGGGTCTGAGCAGCGGATAGGAGAAGGTCAGCACCAGAGTGGCCAAGAATGGGTCTCTTTATGCATTTGTGAATAAATGTAACAGGGTTTGAGTTGTTAAGAGCTTTGTAGGTAAGAATTAATATTTTGAATGGAACCGTATAGAAAACAGAAAGCCAGTTTTACGATTTGCTGAAGGGTGACTTTTGAGAGGAGTGGTGGGAGAGAAAAATAAGCCTGGCAGCAGCATTAATTATGGAGTGTAGTGAGACAGTATGGTTTCAGGAGAGACTAATTAGGAGACAATAACAGTAGTCAATGCGAGAAATTCCCTTGCTCACAGTGCCTAGAGAGATATCAGCTATGCCTCACTGATGATGCCTAACAAGGCTGAAACGATCGTCTGGGGTTGCTGGCATTTCAGGTCTGGACTGCCCGTATGGGTGGGACCAGTCTGATATGTTTCAGAGATGTTCTCTCTGTAATGGCACAAGATGAGCTAAAAGCAACTTGGGATCTGAGCGTGGACCCACCGAAGGGCAGGCTATTTCAGCTGCTGCCCGTTCTCAGTATTCTCTTGCACCCCTGTTTTAGCTCTCCATAAGTTTAAAGGGTAATCCAGACATGGACCCCTTGCTCATGGTGCCTAAAGAGATATAAGCTATGCCTCACTGATGATGCCTAACAAGGCTGAAATGATCCTCTGGCGTTGCTGTGTCTCTCGTGCAGAGGGAACTTGCTGGCATTTCAGATCTGGACTGCCCGTATGGGTGGGACCAGTCTGATATGTTTCAGAGATGTTCTCTCTGTAATGGCACACTATGAGCTAAAACCAGCTTGAGATCTGAGCGGGGACCCACCGAAGGGAAGGCTATTTCAGCTGCTGCCCTTTCTCAGTATTCTCTTGTGCCCGTTTTTTGTACTCCATAAGTCAAGAAGTCAGCTTTAGACAGATTGAGTTTTAGAAAGCAGGAGAACATGCAATCAGAGACAGAAGAGAGGCAACTGGACACCTGTTCTAGGACAGTGCAAAATAGATCAGAAGAGGAAATGTATATATGTTTTTTTTAATCGGCATATAGGTGGTCTGGAATCCAACCTAGATTGCTATATTACTATGGCCATGGAAAGGCCTTGGGTGACTCCAATTAAGATAGGAGGAGAGAAATGATGTTCAGAAAAGGAGACACTGAAAAATAGTAGGAAGATAGGACCATTAAAAGGACAGCGTCATGAAGGCCAAGAATTTGAGGAGCTGGGGAGTGTAGGAATAGATTTTCGTTACCATCAGTGCTTTGTTAGTGTTTAGATCCTATACTGTATACTGAAATTAGATATAAAATGCAAGTGCAAGTTTTAAAACGGACACGGAATATATCGTCCCTTTGGTGAGGGTTCAGTTGGAATGACCGAATGTCAACCAGATTTGATTTAGTAAATATGAGAATTGCCACTCTGGTCTGAGTTTAGATAAGGAAAAAAATGATACTTGTACTTCATTGGGGAGGAGCTGGAGAACGTAGACGCACTAGTGAGAGCTGACCTCTCCCAGGCTCGGGTTCCACCGAGGAGCAACACGATAGGCAAAGCCCCACTAGTGAGAGGATAGAATACATTAAATTCAGGGAAGTTATTGGGAATAATTTCCAAACTAAATAATTTAAAGACTAAACCTAATGAATTACCCCTAAATTAATAGCATGCCTTGAGGGAGGGCAGTACAGCGGCCATGGTTCCTCACAGGTTTCCTCCACTGGGGGTTTTTCCTGTCCTGAGCGCTGCTGTTCACACCCAAAAAATGTTTTAAAATGCCATATATATGTATACATGATAATATTATTATCAATAAATTACCATTATTCACTTTTAGCCTTTTACTCTATATAAATACCAATGTCTATTGTAATTAACACGCAATACGTATTTTATATTCTATTTATAAAAATACACCAGTATAAACTAATAATAAAATGATTTAAAACTAGTTCCTTATGTCTCTTGTGTTTCATTCTTCCACTGTTTAATTGGCAAAAGTATTTACGGTAGTATCAGTTAGGATTTTTTGATTGGTGGATAGAGTACAATGAATTGCAACAGAATTTCACATAAATCACATCAATGCATTTTATTCCTGTACAGTCAAACATTACGAGTTATTTACTATATTTAGAATTGTTAGAAATTGAAAGTGAATTTCAAATGTAAGGCCAAAATTGCTTAGCTGAAAAAAAAATCTATAAATCAACTATTTTTCCAGTTCAGCTATTTTAGTCAAAAAATTGAAATTCACTTTAACCCCTTAAGGACTTAGCCAAATGTACACGTTGTGAACAAAACAAAACAAACAAAACCTGGCATTTGCGCTACATGTCTGTCTAACAGTAATACACCTCTTTCATATTAAATGCACCCACCCTTATTATATATCATTTTATTCAGGGAAAACAGGGCTTTCATTTAATATCAAATATTCAGGTATGGAACATACTTTAATATGAATAAAACCTAAAAAAAATGGGAGAAAATAATATTTTTAAATTTCTTAGTTCTACGTGACATTTTAACTGTGAATGTCATAATACTGTTTGCTTTTACTGCAATAACATACACATATTTGTATTCAGCGATGTCTCACGTGTAAAACAGTACCCCCTATGTACAGGTTTTATGGTGTTTTGGGAAGCTACAGGGTCAAATATAGCACGTTACATTTTTCATTTTTTTTACATTGAAATTTGCCAGATTGGTTACGTTCCCTTTGAGACCGTATGGTAGCCGAGGAATGAGAATTACCCCCATGATAGCTTACCATTTGCAATAGTAGACAACCCAAGGTATTGCAAATGGGGTATGTCCAGTCTTTTTTAGTAGCCACTTGGTCACAAACACTAGCCAAAGTTAACGTTAATATTTGTTTATGTGTGAAAAATGCAAAAAACTAATTTGAACGCCAATATTGGCCAGTGTTTGTGACTAAGTGGCTACTAAAAAAGACTGAACATACCCCATTTGCAATACCTTGGATTGTCTACTTTTGCAAATGGTAAGCCATCATGGGGTAAATTCTTATTCCTGGGCTACCATACGGTCTCAAAGGCAACGTAACCAACCTGGCGAATTTCAATGTGAAAAAACTCAAACGCAAGCCTTGTATTTGACTCTGTAACTTTTGAAAACACCATAAAACCTGTACATGAGGGGTACTGTTATACTCAGGAGACTTTGCTGAACACAAAATATTTGTGTTTCAAAGCAGTAAAAAAGTATTACAGCAATAATATCATCAGTGTAAGTGCCGTTTGTGTGTGAAAAATGCAAATAATGTCACTTTCACTGACGATATCATTGTTGTAATACATTTTACTGTTTTGAAACACAAATATTTGTGTTCAGCGACGTCTCCCGAGTAAAACAATACCCCCATGTACAGGTTTCATGGTGTCTTGGAAAGTTATAGTGTTAAATATAGTACTAGCAAATTAAATTCCCTATACTTTGGGCCTGGGTTGTCAGGCAGGTCCCGCAAATTGTAATTGATAAAATGACCTAATTATGTAAACTTATTACATAAATATATATGTATAATTATAATATATGTGGGTATGTATATGTGTGTGTGTATATATATATATATATATATGTGTGTGTATGTATATTAGTATATTATTTTTGTTAAATAATTTTTATTTATATATAGGTATACATATAGTGATATATACGTATATACATATATATTATTTCGGCTGTCACTGTGATCACCTCCTGCAGATCGCGGTAATTGGCCACAGGTGGAGTGCCTGGATGGCCAGGCATGCCCCCCACCACGATCTGCAGGGGGATCATGCCTGCAGTTACATGTGTCAGCCAATAGGCTGACACATAGTAACACTAATCGCAATAACAGGCTGTCTCTGCGATCTGATCGCAGAGACAGCCTGTCACTGCGATCAGACTGTGCAGATCGCGGTCACTGACCGCAGGGGGACTGCCTGGGGGGCCAGGCATGTCCCCCGACCGCGTTCTGCAGTGGGAAAATGCCGTGGCTACATGTACACGTGGTAAATACCGATCGCAGTGACAGCCTGCAGACCGCGGTCACTGGGACGAGGCTGCAGACCGCGGTCACTAGGCACAAAGGGCTGCCTGGGTGGCCAGGCATGCCCCCGACCGCGGTTTGCAGCGGGCTCATGGCACATGGGAGGCAAGAATGTCTAGGACGTTCTATGACGCTCGCCGGCGTTTAGAACCAGCCCCTTAAGGACGACATAGAACGTCCTCCGTCCTTAAGGGGTTAAACCCTGTTTGAATTCCCAACAATTCTGTAGAAAATCATTTAGATTTTTTTTTTCTAATAGTATCGAATCATTTAGAAAACTTATCAGATCAAGGCCATTATTAGGGTGTAACTCAATTCACTTTCACTTACAACATTCGTCTGGAGTTACATTCACCCCCCACAAACTAAATGGAAATGCAAAGAAAGTAAAGACAAAGTATCAAGATTATTCACTAAGTGAGAATTCAAAGTGAAATAAACTTTAAAAGAACACTATAGGGTCAGGAACACAAACATGCATTCCTGACTCTGTGTTAAAACTACTATCTAGCCTCCCTGGGTCCCCTAAATATAGTAAATTCTTACCTTTATCCCGTTCTGCTAGTGCTGGCTCTGCCTATGATCAAAAGTGATGATCTCAGCCAATCACAGTGCTTTGCCATAGGAAAGCATTCGATTGGCGGAGATTGTCAATGATGATCTCAGCCAAGGAGCTGGGCCAGGGGCAGACCCAAACGCCACCCTGGCCAATCAGCATCTCCTCATAGAGATGCAATAAACCAATGCATCTCTACTAGAAAAGTTCAGTGTCTGCATGCAGAGGGTGGAAACACTGAATGTCAATGCTGCGTCCCCAGGAAGCACCTCTAGTTGTTATCTTTTCTCTGAAAAGGCCGTGTAAACTGCAAAAAGCCCGCAGGGACTGGCTATACATTAAGCTGTAGTTGTTCTTGTAATTGTAGTGTCCCTTTAATGTCAAAAGAGCCGATCTGAAAAAGTCAGCTATGCTTTCAGTTTGGCTACTCTGGCCTTAAATGTAAAATTATCTTTGCATTTACCTTGAATTCATATGTTAGTGAATAACTCTGTATGTGGTTTCCTATACAGGGAGTGCAGAATTATTAGGCAAGTTGTATTTTTGAGGATTAATTTTATTATTGAACAACAGCCATGTTCTCAATGAACCCAAAAAACTCATTAATATCAAAGCTGAATATTTTTGGAAGTAGTTTTTAGTTTGTTTTTAGTTTTAGCTATGTTAGGGGGATATCTGTGTGTGCAGGTGACTATTACTGTGCATAATTA